GGTATACTTAGACAAACTATGACAGATACAAGGTCACTAGGAGATTAATCTTATGGGCGACTACCTATATTGTTGATCAAGAATATCCTTACACAGTACATGTCTGTATTAGTTCCTAAAACTTTATTTCTTCCCATATATGTAAGTGTAATTATAAGACAAGTTTTTCAAAGACTGATCAGAAGAGGAGAGTGGATGGATCAGGAATGTGGATAGAAGCCCATGAGACCAACAGCAGCTATGATTTTTCTGGTTATGTCTACCTGGCTATGGCGGCACAGCCTGTGGGAAGTGTGCTTCAGCCAGGGTTGGGATACAGTGAAGAGCATACTCCGAGAGAGACCAGGCAAGAGGATTGAGGTCTCTGCAAAGGAGGGGTTATAATTACAGAACATGGAATGACACCTGGAGAAGAAGGTAGCTCATGAGGCAGAGTGCAAAGGGACAGCTAAGCCAAAGGAACTGTATAAGAAAAATGCTATTCCATGGACTGAAACCTCTGAAACTGAGCCAAAAGAAATCTTTCCTTCTTAAAAGTTGTTCATCTCAGGCTGGCAGAGTGGCTCAAATGGTAGAGCACCTGCCTAGCAAGCATGAGGCCTAGTTCAAATCCCAGTACCACAAAAAAAAAAAAAAGAATACTATGAGCAACTCTGTGCTCATAAATTTGACAGTTTAAACCGTGCACTGGTGGCCATACCTATAATCCTAGCTGTGTGGAGGCAGAGATCAAGAAGACTGCAGTTTGAAGCCAGCCAGGCAAACAGTTGAGATCCTATCTAAAAAATACCCAATACAAAAAAGGGGTGTTGGAGTGGCTCAAGTGGTAGACTGCTGCCTTGCAAGTTTAAGGCCCTGAGTTTAAACCCTAGTACTGCCAAAAAAAAAAATTGCTCATCTCAGGCATTTTGTCACAGTGATGGAAAGCTGATTAATATACTCTACAAGATTGAGAGCAAGGGGAATTTTTTCCCCATACAAACAGTCATTCACAGAGAATAAATGGAAATACTTTATCAATCAGAGGACTTCCTTCTTGACTCTGTGCCAGGCTTTTTGTATGGTATGTAAAAACTTTTGAAGTCAAATAGCATAGCTTGGTCAAGATTCTCAGCAACCACAAAAAAAGTTTCCTCAAAGGCAATCCTGTTAAATTAAATAATAGTAATCATATAATTGATCATATAGTCATGTTACCTTCAAATGTTGTTTTTCTGCATTTAGCAAACACAGCTGAAAGCTAGGGACATGGCTCAGTGGATATGCTTAGCATGTGTGAGGTCCTGGGTTCTATTCCTAGCACTACAAAAAAAAAAGGTAGTTGGGTATGGTGTTGCATACCTGTAATCCAAGCATTCAGGAACCTGAGGCAGGTGGATTATGAGTTCAAGGCTAGCCTAGGCTATGTAGTGAGATCCTATCTCAAACAAACAACAAAAAAATAAACCCCACAAAAATCATAATCCCAAGGCTGGGAGTGTAGCTTGGTAGTAGTATGCACAAAATCTTGCGTTCAATCCCCAGCACCCTACCCTATAAGGCATAATCTCTGAAAAATAGGAAGTCTTGGTTGCTATGCCAGACTCCCCTTTTCTCTTTCTCTGGGATCTGAGTATAGTTTTCCCAGAAGCATTTCATATTTTCATGAGAAATATAAATAATCCCCCACACTATAAAAGACCAGCTATGACTCAGAAGTTTAAATGGGGTACAGAAAAATAATAGCTAAAATGTAACCCTTTCCTTTTATGCTGACCACTCTTTTTCCTTGTTACAGTTGATCATTTTTCTCTGGAAATTAATATTCTTATGATTTCTTAATCCTTAAACTAAGCAAAAAGTACCATAGGAAAAACTTTAAAAAGAGATGAATTCCCACCTTATATCAATAGTTCAAATTAGACCTTATAATGATATCTCTTGAGATACTGAACCAGGGGGTCCTGCCATGTCATTCCAGCTTCTGTCTCACCATTGTTCCAGCTGCGGCAGACTTAGAATAAAAGATGCATGGAATTTCTACTGGTGATTTATCACTGGTAGGATTTTCAAGTTAATAGAACTCTTTCAGTAACAACATGCTTTGTCTCTGAGACCTGCTGTAATTGGTTAGTTTGAAGCAATTTTGCATATCTGGCCCTTTTATGATCCCATTGGTGGCGCCTAAGCAACTTACTAGCAAAGATGAGGGGAGGACGTAGGTGACCATGGCACAGAGCGGCAGCATGGTAGCATATGGACTCAGATGCTTCCATGCATGTATGGAGTAAGGATTTCACAAATAATGGCCTGGATAGTGAGGGTGCATGTTGCCATAGCCTGACATGGTCAGCAAATTCTTTGGACCCTCATATTTTCTGGTTTCCTAAACCCAAGGTGCTCAAAATCCCCTATCCTACACATCAAAAGCTACCCTTTAGAAAACCTGGAACCAATAATACTAGAAACAGAAAGCTAAGTATTTCCAAGAAGGATATTTACCTATCTATAGGCATCCCATAATTTACAGACTATTTCTAATAAATTCTAAAAGCATAAAAATCTGCAGCATAAGAGTGAGAAACAAACATAGCTGAGAAAGATGGTTTCTGGCAGGCTAATGTAACCATCCAGGAAGCCATGCAGGTTATCGTGTCTGGCAAATGGTTACTAAGAAACTCCTGCTCCTCATATTATTAGGCGATCACAAGAAATGAAGACGGGTAAATTCTTCATAACGGCTACCCTGCCTGCTTGAGCAAAGCTGAGAACAGACATCCCAGGCCCTGGCAGGTGCTGCCAGTGGTCTGCCCGCACACCCTCAGGTTTCTCACCATGTCTCTGCACATTTCACTGGATAGCCAATACCGGTCTCTGTCAGAGAATGGGCCTGCTTTGCCTGCATGCACAGTGAGCTACAAGTGCCTGGGGGCAGCTGTGAGCCAATGTCTGACTGATGCAGGGGTCTGAGAAGTCCAGTAAACTGGTCTCTGATCTGACCACCCTCGTGGGGCCTACGGTATCCAGAACTTTCATGTGAGATAGAGTTCAATTCCCTCAGTGGGAATTCCTCCATGCACTCTTGCTTGGCTTACTTCCCTGCCAGCTCCTTTTCCCTCTCCTCTATTTTCCTGTCCAGTAGGAACATTTCCCATTCCATTTTCAGATGAATCTTCATCTCAGCGTCTGCTTTTAGGGCACTTGATCTAAGACAGAGGCAGGTGGATGGCAAGTTTGAGGCCAGCCTGGGCTACATAGTGAGACCCTGTCTAAAACAACAAAAACAGATTGGGCACAAGTTCACAAAGGACCTGAGCATTTGTTTGTGGAACAGACTGCTCCTTTGTAGACTATCACCTTCTCCTCATACTGATTCTTTAGGATTGATGCTGCCCCAAACTGTCCTCTTGTATAGTTCTTTCCCCTCTTCCTGCACTGACAGCCATCACAGGGTCTGGACCATGTCCTCTGTCTCTCTCTTCATGCTATCCAGTTGAGAGCCTTGCATTCTAAGTGGAGTGCAGATGAATGGCATGTTCTTTCCCCCAGTCCGCCACACTCCTCTTAGTTCTCATTCCTTGTGCTTATCATTCCTGCTGGGAAGTCACTTTTCACTAACTAACACCAATGAATCCAACCATTGTAGCTTAAACACCCCTTCCACTGCAGATCTTTTGTAGATGTGCAGGAAAGGATTAAATTCCCCTTCCTTCTGTATGCAGAAACCCACTCCACATCTGCTCTTTCCTAGCTCTGCTCTTAGAAATGACTCCACCTCCAATCACAGAGTCCTATGAAAATAGAATTTAATAGAAGGACGATAACTGAGCTAACATTAAACTGCAGGAGGTTATCTGTATTATTTATATTATATATATAGCCTAAGGTCATCCTGTCAACTATTTAGAAAAGACAATGGCTAAAATTATTTGTTGGAGTATGACATGTATTCCAGGGAAAAATTATAATTCTCAGTACATACCATCTGTTAAGGCAAGAATTCCAGAATACAGGAAGAATGGTGGGGCACCCCATGAACATGGTGGAGGGGTGGGACAGGATGCTGCCTGACTGCCATGTCACACACCACACGTCACTCAACCCCAACAGGGATACCAAGAAGCTGTGAGGAAGCCAGTTAAAGTAAGTACCATCCTCACCCTGGGAGAGCACACTCTTTATCTGTCATTTCATTTTCTTCCCCCTCCTCCCTCTCTTCCTCCACCTGTCTTTCCTTCCTTCCCTTCCCTCTTCTCTCCCACCACAGATTCCATTGTTCATGAGCCATGAAACCTGTAGATAGGTCTTAATGTCCACAGGGTTGGAGTCTCCTGTCTGTAGCAACACTAGTCCATTTAAGACCCAGAGGAGATTCTTAATGTTGCCATGCTCGCTTTAATAAAGGAAAGAGGAAAAAATTCCTTTTCTAAAAAGACAGGAACCTCTACCTTTGTCCTCATTCAGACCTCTAAACTGCCAAGTAGAAAAACCACTGGAAAGGAACATAACAAAGAACTTGAATGAGAGGTTTTCAATTTCAAACTCCATGCAGATGTGTCTGTCTCGCAAGTCAAGCACTGACTACACACTCCTGACCTTGATATATTTCATCAGTATTCCCTGCCAGGCTACCAGGAAGATGAGGCAGAATCATGAAAGGGTCCTTGCAAGGGTCAGAGTACAAATGAACCTTGGAGTCAGCCAAGACCTCACACTTGCCAGCAGTGCTGAAACCAGAAACCCATGTCCCCATGGGACCAGTGTGTCATCAGGCAGCCCAGGGACCCATATGAGTATGTGGTCTGAATATACACAGCACCTTCGGGTTTTAATTCAATCAAAGATTTATCAGATGAAGAGGATCCAAAACTATCAGCTCTTTCCAAATTAATATCTAGGCTTAATATAATTCCAAACAAATTCTGTAGAATAAACCTGACTGAAAGGACTAATGGGTGAATTAGTCAAGAAAATTTCAGGGGAGGGGGAGATAAAGGGACATAAAGAGCAGTGGGACTTACCTTTCCAAATGGTAGCATGTATGTGGTACAGAGCTGGAGAGAGGCAGTTCATGCTCCAAATGATGCTGGGCCTAGGGACCAAGTATTGGGGAAGAAAGAATTCAGTTTCCATCTTCCTTTACAAACCACCTGCTGAATTATTGCAAATGAATTTAAACAATGATCTATACAATTGACACCACAAACATTAGAAGAAAGTATAAAGGGCTCTATCTGGGGACATGGAAAGGCTTCCTACGCATAGGAATCAGTAAAGAAGTCCAAAGGAAATATATAAAACATTAGACTATGCAAAAAAGTAAAGATTTTTGAATGACAAAAAGTTACAGATACTCAGCACTTTCAAGAAAAGCTGACCGAAGGGTGTGGAGGTGCAACCTTATGTATCCTGCACCTGTGTGCTGAGATCAGCCAGTCCTGGAACTGATCTTGCACAGGTGTGAATGCTGCTTGCAGGACTGCTGCCAGGTGTGTGCTCTTGGCTGACTTCCACTCAAAGTTCAAGTGCAATCCTACCCATGCAGCTGCCCTCAGTTAATGGACAGGAGAGACATCTACCTCCATTCTCTTTTAAAAAGTATTTTTGTAATGGAGCCAGTTTAAATACAATGGGGAGTTATAGCTACAGGTGTGTGTGTATGTGTGTAATGTTTTCTTTAATAAAGAAAAATGCTTTATAAAGCAACTAGAGTTCAGCTGGCTATTTAAACTAGAAAAATGTTTGGGTTTTTGAGTTTTGAATTCCTGATGATAAGCAAAATATTTCTTTCTCCCACTTACTGGGTTAACCTAGTCAATAAAATTAAACACTTCACTCATTAAAAAGGAAAAAAAAAATGCTTCCAAGTCTGATTTTTAAAATAACTCAAATTCTGAGAATTTCAGGCAAGTGGAAGATTATTTATGTACTGATAACTCCCTCTATGTACTGCCACACATCACTGAACAAAAATAACAAGCTCACAGCAGTAATTTTTAGAACACCTCTTGAGTTTATTTCCCATATGGATACTATGAAGCTCAGCAATATCATTTATTCCATTAATGATTATTAATTTATAATTAGCATAAATAGTACAGGGGAATACATTGTATTTACACGTAGGCTTACGATATATCTTGATTAGATTTCCCCCCTCCATTAGTCTACCTCTTCCCTCCTTCTTAGAACAATTTCAACAGGTTTCATTTTTCTATTTTCATATATGAATACAAAATACACCCACCATATTCATCCTCAGTCACCCTTTCCTTATGCCCACGCCTCCCCCGACTCATTTCAGAAAAACACTTGTTTTACTCTCCTGTCCACTCTTAGAGATGGTTTAAAAATAAACCAACACACCTTTATAACCTAGCCTACATAAAATTGAATCAGGAGTTTTCAATCAGGGTCAATCAGCTTAGGCAGGTGTTCAAAGCCAGCAATGAAGGGCCTTGCAGCCAAAGATTCTTGACCAGAAATAAGATCTCTCACACAGGCTGGAAAGTCCATAGCCTCATTTTTTAAAAATCCAACTTTGGGCTGGTGGAATGGCTCATGTGGCAGAGCACCTGCCTAGCAAGCCTGAGGCCCTGAGTTCAAGCCCCAGAACCACCAAAATAATAATAATAATAATAATCCAACATTGTTTCTTAGTCTCTTCCACAAAATTGGCTGTTTAAACTTTGCCAAACTGTTAGTGAGTTTAAAAAGGTTCTGTTACTAAAAATACTGTTCTTTAATCATTCATTGACAATGTGATAATGCCCTTGAGTCTTTTTGCTAGTGACTACTAACGTGTGATTCTGTCCACACTCTCAGCAGACTTCTGGGAGAGCCTGGGTTCTACCCAGTCACAACAGATGCTGGTCCTGAACTAGCAGGCGGAAAGTTCTGGATTGTCTGGCTTCTATCAGCACAGAATCTTCATCCCCCTCCCTGGCTTAACAGTCCCTTCTCTATACCCTCTAGATAAGTGCTTCCGGGATTCCACCTTGACCCTCTTTCTTCTTGACCTGGGGCTTCTCCCTGGGTTAGTTCATCAACTACCGTTTCTGTCACTGTTGTGCCCCACTGTTTCCTGCTCCTTACTACACATTTCTAGGGAGGTGACATACAGAACTCTTGAATTCAAAAGGTGAAAAACCACTCTCAGTATTTCCTTCTTACCCTCTCCTTGGTCATGCACCCAGGAGCATACAAGTGCACACACTGATTCCTGAACTCTCCAGGGCTTGGTTAATGATTCATTATCCTTCCAGTCATCTTCCTCACCAACCCTTGATACTCCCACCCCACCCCACCTCATAGGCCCATTTTTCTCTTTTTTTTTTTTCATTTTTCTTTTATTATTCATATGTGCGTACAAGGCTTGGTTTATTTCTCCCCCCTGCCCCCACCCCCTCCCTTACCACCCACTCCACCCCCTCCCGCTCCCCCCTCAATACCCAGCAGAAACTATTTTGCCCTTATCTCTAATTTTGTTGTAGAGAGAGTATAAGCAGTAATAGGAAGGAACAAGGTTTTCTCAAAACACTCCATCCCTTGACTTTGCTGATGCTACTGTTCAAAAGGTAGCTCTGAATGGGACTTGACTTTGCACATTTTGGAAAAAAATATATATATGAAAGAAATCTTGAGATAAGTTTGCTCAGTGTAGGAGACTTAGGAACCTCCCATTGAATACTAGATCCATGTAGGTGTGCCTTTCTGATCACTGTATCACCTTTTCCAGGGCTCCTCCATTAGCCCACAATTCTCCTTTGAGTGCCTGCAACTGCCTGCCCTCTTCAGTTCCTCCTTAACTGCAATTGAGCCTGAATAACTGGGATTACTGGCCCGTGAAGAGTGCCCAACAGCACATGCAAGCTGACTCTGATTACACACACCTGATTTCAAACAATGGGTGCATATGAACTGGGGGCTGCACCTTCTGGGGTGAGGGATACCTGTTTGTCCTGGCTTGAGCCCTCCAGAGAGTGCCTATTGCTACCTTTTCATAACTAAATGCAGACACTGACACCCTAGAGAATCCATGTGGCCAGGGAGTGAGAAGTGAGAGAATGGGCACATTCCCACTCAAGGATGTGATAAGCCAAGATAAAATAGTGCTTTCGGCCTAGCGGGTAGCTCAGTGGTAGATAGAGTACTTGCTAGCATGTGCAAGGTACTGGGTTCTATTTCCAGCACTGCAAAAAACAAAAACAACCAACCAAACAAAAACCTTTAAAAACAGAATAGTGCTCTCAGTATAAGAACCTCTGGGGTTTCCACCCATATGCATAGCTGCATTGGGGACACTTGGGTTGGAAAGACTGGTTGAGATCAGAGACATTCTGGGCAGCAGGAAGGCAGCTACCGAGCTTCAGATCTGATCAAACCCTGGGAAGCTGACAATCAGATGCACAAAGCTGGCAAACCAACAAGTTAAATTTAGTAGGGTGGGTTGCTACACCTTCCTAATGTCCAGAATATGAATGTTTACCACCCTAAACATCACATAGTGACTTAGCTGGCAGAAGGTTTTGGATGTAATACCTCCCCAAGTGGACTCCTTGGAACACCGTTTCTAGAAGATGCTTCATGAGAAAGAGTACTCTGTGGCCAAATAAAGTTGGCAAACATGCCACACTGCAGTGTCATCCTAGAGCCCCAGATCATGTTCTAATAATAAAAGCTCTGAAAAATCCTGCTGTAAAAACTCAGCTTACCATTAGCATATTTACCTAACATACTCTGCCACTGTAAACCCTAGCATATCCTCAGTAAAATCACATGTTCTGGCAACTGCTGCTCTAGACCACATTTCCTGGAGTCTGCCTCTAGATAGGGCCACTTTTAGCCAAGTATGCTAGGGTGTAGCAGAATGACTGCTGGACCTGGAGCCCTGGCTCCTGGTGCTTTCACCCCTCTCAGCCTCCATCTCCTTGCCTACAAAATGCAATTAAGATTCTTGTGAGAAACAACTGAGTTACTACCTGTAAAAGCATCTTATAAAGGGCTATAAAAAATACTATCTGCTTTCTTTGGAGGCATTATTGTCCTAAGGATGTACTTCTTGCTGTGCAGTTCCTCAAAATGCTTTAGCAAAGGGATACTTTGTTCATTCAATCATTCATTCATACAGTTGTTTAACACACACTCCTTTAGCTGCAGGTCCTAAGGGCTATGATCTGGCTTTGGACCCTGGGAAGCAAGTGGCAAGTGGAGCAAGTGGCATGTTGCTTGGAATTGATACACACATGGAATTCTGGTGGTGCTGAGAAGCACCTTACCAGGGAAAGTAGGAGGAAACTTTCCTTGCTGAAATCATTAGGACTCTTGAAGTTGGGCACTACATCAAAATAAAATATAGCGAGTATGCCCAATTAATTGTGGACTCTCCAGTGTAACACACTCTTGACAGAGGAGAAATGATTCTCTGTCTCCTCCAAGCATAGGAAGAGGATTTAACTAAGTAAGGAGGTTGTTTCTAGAGACTGGAACTTCTCTTTGGAGGAGGCAGTGGTCCTTGACTTTGGAGAAGGCATGGAGGAGGGGGCAAGAGTGGGGGGATAGGAGAGCATGCTGCTGGGCTGTTACCTCTCAACAAGCACACGGGTAACCCAGAGGAAGTCGAGTCCCCTTCACTGTGCTAATCTGTCTGGAGGGGGAATGTCTCCAGATAATGGAGGTCCTGGTATCAGGTGCTCTTGCCCCATGTCCCTACTTCCAAAAACTAAGAGCAAGCCCCCAAGCCCCAAGCTCTGGTTAAGGGTCTTCTTCCCAAGTCCCAAATGTAATAGCCCCCTCACTGTCCCAGATCCTTCCCAATCCATGACCTGTGACATCCTCTAAGGAGATGAAAGCACTGAGAACAGACATACAGAGACACACAGAGCCTGAGGCAAAGAGGAAAATAAGCACCTGTATATGCATTTATCAGAACATCCTGCCCTGTTTGAACTAGGAGAAAAGCACATAAAAGCTCTACAGTCAATAAACATGACTATGTTCAAAGCCTCAGTTGCCCAATCTGTCATGTACCTCATAAACCACAAAGCAGGGGACCAGACTAATTGAGGTGGGGGTTGGGAACAACTGTCCCTTTTACACAATGACGCAGGGACATAACAACCTATCTTTATTTTACATTTTGATATTTTGTTTTATTATGGATTTTTTAGGTTCAGTTTCCTTTACATACGATTGCGTTAAACTGAGTGCTGCCAAGGCTTTATTTTTGTTTCAATATTTACAAAGTCCTGTTGGTGGACAAAGAATGCTCTAAAGTTTCCTTATTGATTCCAGCATGTTCCTAAGAAACCATAACGTGTCGTGTCCAAATCCTGCAACAAAGTGCAGCTATACTGTGCGGTCCCTTCTGCTGAACTCGGAAAGGATTTGAGAGCTCTGAGGAGAGGCGCCTCTCAGGACCCAGGGGGCCGACCTTGCCCTGTATTTCTTGGCAACATAACACAGGCTTTAAAGCCTAACGTCTGCAAACCCTGCTGTCCCCCTAGCCGTCCAGGGGCGCGCCACCGCGGGTGGGTGGAAGCCGTGCTGTGGGAGCCGAGGCCAAGGGTGGACTCCAAGCCCAGAAGGGGGCGGGGAGGCCTCAAAGCAGGCAAGTGGCCCTGTCCCTTCGCGGTTGGAACCCAGGACTCCTCCTCCGCCCGCTGTGCTCCCATCAATCATACGCAGCCCAAACACTCCTGCCCGGACTTCTTCACAAGCATGGGGAAGGAAGTCTCCTGTTGGAGCCTGTGCCCTGCACCCGGACAGGCTCCAGATTGCTCCATGGTTCGGATCGCTCGCAAGCACAGGCGCGGGGCGCACTTGACACACCGCAGGCGGCCCCACAGGTCAAGAAAGGTTTCTACCTCCCCACTCCGGCGCATTAGCTCACACACCTGCACCTCGAGCCATCGCCCCTGCACCCTGCGGTTACCCTTACCTCACCTCTGCGGGGGTCAGCCGAGGACACTCGGTGACCCTTCCTAGACCCGAGGCCTCTTAGCGCAGCGGGACATCACCCTACCCCCAGTCCTGGCGTTCCGACTCCCTGGTGCTCTCTTCCCCATCGGTACCCCCACGACCCCGGAGACACTGGCTAGCTCTTCCCCCCCCACACACCCAAATCTCCTCCGGACAGGAGGAGAATGGGGAGCAGCACTTCGCTCCTGGATCCCCAAACGCCCCCAACAGCTTCCGGAGCTTCCCCTGGCGGGCAGTGGGTGAGGGCATAGGGGGTGGGGTCTCCGCTGCCGCCGCCCCTTACCTCGCGCGGGCCCTCCCCGCAGGTCCCAAAGGCGGGGGCGACCGGTGGCCCTGCGGACAAGCGCGGGGCTGGGTTTCCCCGCCCAGGAGGAGCAGAAGGAGGAGGAAGAGGAGGAAAAGACTGAGGGGGGGAGGGGATTGGGGAGGAGAGGGGGTGGAGAAGACAGAGAGGAGGAGGGAAGGGCTTTGTGTCTGCCTCTGGCCCTCCCCCTGTTGCAGCGCTAGCCATCCCCCTCCTCCCCCAGCCACCCTCCGGAGCTCGCGGGGGCTGGGGGGGGGGCAGGGGCGATCGGGTCGGAGGTGGAGAGCAAGGCGCCTGCGCGACCCCAGGTCCGACCACCCCCCCCACTCCCTAGTACCGCCCACCCTCCGCAGATCCAGACCTCCACCCTCTTGCTTACCGGGTTACAGAGAACCCAGGCTACCACCAGGAAAAGCTAGGATCACAAAGTTTATCTAACCCAGAGCAAACTTGGCTGGGCCGGCCCTGACCCGCCTTCTTTCTGGCCTCCCTGCGGAAGACCAGAGTTTGTTCTTGGAGATTTTCCCCTTTAGCACCCACTCCCAGCGCCTGCCTTCAGCTCCCGGGATCCGCGGCGCGAGCTGGGGAAGCTCCACTGGGAGGCCAGTGGCGGCCGCGGCCCTTTGTCCTGGGCCACGATCTCCAGCGCAGGACCCACTGTAGGAGCCCAACAGCTGCAGTGGCCCTGGCTGGGCCGGGGCAGCCTGGGTTTGTGTGTGTGCTGGGCCGCCCCACCCCGCCCGGCCCGACCGAGCGGGAGCCGCAGGGAGGCTGAACGTGGTTTGGCCCGGAGCTCGAAGCCTTTTGTAACCCCGCTGGAGGCCACGCAGAAAAGCAGGGAGGCGGAAAGCTGAGGACCAGGCTCCCTAGGAGAAATAAGCATTCTCCTTTTCGGAGTCAGGTGGAGTGATGGTCATCTGCCCCGCGTCTCAGGTTTCCTAGGGGGAGGGAAACAGCACCTTTGAGGGGTAATTAGAGTAATCAAAGTGGCCTGTGTCACAAAAGGAATCCCAGAAGTCAGACACCTTGTTTTGCACGAAGTGGAAAAGAAACAGACTTTATCATTGGTATTGGTGTTTGTGAATCTTGGCTTCTAAAACCCCAGAATTATCATCTATCATCAGCTCTGCTCCCAGCAAAACATAACCCACCGCACTTGTCTCTGTGTTCAAGTCAAATGTTTAACAATTGAGCTTCTGCCATGTGCCAGGTGCTACTCAAACTTGGATGTTTGGGGAAATACATCAAATATTCCCCTCCCCTGGCAGAGCTGACACTGGTGGTCAGGCCTGAGCTAAAGAAGAGAAGCCATGAACATCATCCTTGGAATCTTGGGTCAGTGATGGAAGAAGAAAAAGATAAAGTAGAATATGGATAGCTGGAGTGCTGGTGTCTGGCACAGGTTGTAGAATTAAATAGGTGGGTGAATGGCATAAGACCCCTCCAGCAGGTGGTATTTGAGCCAAGACTTGAGGATGCTGGGCAAGGGAATGCCTCCAGAAGATGGCAGGGATCAAGGGTCTGAAGCGGCAGGTGGAAGTTCATGAGGGTTTGAGCAGAGGGTGCCATAATCTAGTGTTGCTGAAGGCTGGATGTGACTATACGGAGTCCCTACTGCAGAGTTAAGAGGCACTGAAGTCATCCAGGCCAGAGCTGAAGGTAGCACAGAGCAGGCTATAGCACTGCAGGTGGGAAGAGGTAACTGCATTCTTATCTATTTTGAAAGTAGCACTGGAAGCAATTCCTAAGAGATTGCATATGTGGGCAAAAAGGGAGAGGTGAACAGAGCTGGACTGGGCCCAAATTCCTCCCTCTTCTCTCCCTTTTTCAGCCCCAGAGAGGTGCACTTTTGTAGACAAAGGGTCCCAGGAAATGCTGAAGATTCTTGGCCCTTGCTCCTTTCTTCTTTTTCCTTTTTTTCCACTCATCCTCTTGAAAACTTCCTCTTTGCACATGGCTGCGTGGACTGTCTCACGGGCTAAGTCTCTTCCAGAAGATGGGGCCCATTTGGCCTGGCCCTGCCCCCACCCATGCAAACATCTGTTATTGTTGAAAACTTTATTGAATCCCTGCAGCAGGAAATCAAAATAGGCCACCCCCAAAATACACTCTCTGGCATATTTCAAGTTGGCTCTTCAGAGGGGCTGCAGACCCAGGGATACCTCAGAAAGGTAATCCCCTGCCCTCTTTTTTCCCCTTTTTTTGACAGTACTGGAGGTTGAACTCAGAGCCTCTCCTTTGCTAGAGAGATGTAGTACCACTGAAGCCCCACCCCCAGCCCTTTTTACATTGGTTATTTTTGAGATAGGGTCTTGCTTTATGCACAAGGCAGCCTGGGCCAAGATCTTCCTATTTGTGCTTCCACAGATAGCTGGGATAACAGGCACATGCCACTGTACCCAGCCTTTGGTTGAGATGGGGTCTCACAAACTTTAACTTTTGCCTGGGTTGGTGGGGATCCTTCTGATCTCTGCCTCCCACATAACAATGATTATAGGCTTGAGTCATGGCACCCAACCTGAAAAGGGCTGTCCTTTTGCCTGGACTTGCATCTGTAATTGAGTGTCCCAGGCTTGGCTTCCTCTGGGACACTTTTTAGGATAGAACTTTTCACAGGAAGAAGAAATGGGGATGTGACACTTGACCTAGACAGTTACCACTGGTGAACTTCTGATGCCTCTTACCTGGAAGATGTTATCTACAAAATAGAAATACTTTGTTCAGTAAATTTGCCTCTCTTCACCCTTCCATAACTATTTTGCTACTTCCTTTACAGTAACCTCAAGCTTTGATTTCTTTCTGTAGCTCAAAATGCTATTTAAGTTTCAACTGTCAGTCCCTTTCTTGAGTCTTGTATTTTGGATATGGCTCCAGTGTTCCTGCACATTAATAAATTTATATGCTCTCTTTTTCCTGTTAATCTGCTTATTGCCAGTTTAGATAGACTAAAAATATTGAAACTTCAGTGAGGAAAGAGAACATTTCAAACTTTGCTACACTGTTTTATTCTGATTACCATTGTAGGTACCTGGTCCATTGAAGCAAAAGAGACAAAACTTCATGCTCTGCTGGAATTCACACTGTAAGGATACTAAGTTTGCTCTCTTTCAGGGACTCACCTCCTATTTAGCAGGTTTAACCTGTAGACTGGTATGGCCACTCTGCTCAGCTGCAGAGAGCTGGAGTGCTCTCAAGGCGCTGTTAGTTGGGGGACCAACTAGCCAAGAAAATGTCTTCATTTCTAATGAAGTTATTTTCCTTTTAAAGTAAACCAAGTAGCATTGGCTCTGGAAGCAGTGTCCAGAGCTGGCAATTCAACAGTTTGTTTATCTCCTCTGCTGGACAAGGCAGGTAGAGAGGAGTGTCATGTGCTCATAAAATGACTGGAAAAGAGCCGTGTCTAAACTATAAAATAATTGAATAATAATGATGGCAATTGTTTATTTATTTAATGGTCTGTACTGGCAATGGATGATGTTACCTTGACCAATCCCCATATAGCCACTCTAGGAGACAGAGGTTACCAGTGAAGAGTTGAATATTTTCAAATGTTAGGAGTGACCTAGTAGTTATAGTTAGTTAGAACTGCCTATCTCCCTCTCCAAAAGAGAGAGGATCTTGTTATTAGGAGGAAGGAACATTGACAAGGATATATGTTATTCTTTTACTTGTATTTTTGTTTTAGAATCTAAAAGAAAGGAGTGATCAATCATCTCTGGAGTGTGGGATTATTGGGATTTTAGGTTTCATGTTTATGAACTGCTTAAATATTTAAAAGTATTAATGTATTAATACTTCAATCAGAAAAATCATTAATTTTATGTATAGAATTTATACATAGAATTAGAAGCCCAAATGTAGATGCAAACATATAATTGCCTAATATTTTGATGCCCTCTTTGACTTTATTAATTGAATCATTTAAAAATTTCTGTGCTACCTTAGGTTTCCATTGCTGTGACAAAATCAACTAAGAAGGAGTAAAAATTATTTGGCTTCCAGTTTCAGTGGTTGCAGTCCATGGTTGCTGACTCCATCACTTTGGGCCTATGACAAGGCAGAACATAATGGCAAAGCAAAGCCACACATTTCATGGCAGCTGGGAAGCAAAGAGAGAGGGAGAAGTTGGTGTCCTAAAATCTCCTTCAAGGTCACACTCCCAGTGACCTAGCTTCCACTGGGCCCCACCTCCTAAAGGTACTACTACCTCCCAATAGCTATAGGCTGGAAGCCAAGACTTTGGCATATGGGTCTTTGGGGGGAGTTTAGGCTCCAATCCTTAACAATTTGTAAGCATTGGGGTTTGTTGTTATTATACACTATTTCAATAATTGTTTATTAGTGAATGCGAACATTAAGTAATTAAGTATTCATTTATTTTCTACATTTATTCAAAATCTCAGTGTCATTTATTTTTACTCTTTTATTTCCAGCCAGTGTCACAGCTTGTATCTTGCTTTCTCCCGTAATGCTTTTCCTGAATAGAATGGATTTAGGGATTTGGGGCAGATGTGTTCACATCTTTCATTTCTATGGAGTTCTGACATTTTCCTTTGACTTTCAACCATTTATTTGCATTCCAGCATTTTCATGCTGTGTTACACAATACATAAATATTTATGTGTGCTATAATTTCACCAAGGATTGCATTAGTCATCAGTATAATAAACCTCTTTGGCCCCATTCACTGTTTGCCTCAGTATATTCCTTGACTAAAAATTCATATCTTGACCCTTTTTCTCTATGTTTGCTTCACAAAATAAAACTGTCCGTACTCTATATTAAACCACTATGGATCACTTTATTTTAGATGAATTCTTTAGAGGCAACATATGTCATAATTAGATTTTATTTTTAAACTGATGAACTTGTTTTAATTTTTTCTGTATTATTTTATGATTTTGGAGTTTTATAAAGCTGTACTATTCCCTAAGTTCTATGCTTTTATGTTAAGCTGAGGGTACTTTATTTCTTTATATACTCTCCAGTTGTTTGGAAAGTATACTTACTTGACCATTCTTTTCTTCAACACATAACTTTTGATTATCTACTGGTGTA